ACAGGGGCCGCGGGCCGAGGAGCCCAGACCGCGAGAGCGTGGATGCCGAGGTGCCTCCCGCGCACGCCCCCCCGGGTGCGTGCCGCCCAGTCCTCCGGGGCGCAGCCGCCGAGGCGGAAGCTGCGGCGGCTGCCCTCCGGGTTGTGCTGCTGCAGCAGCTGCTCCTCGCAGGGGGCTGGGATTAAGTCGCGTGTACCCCTACAGGGGGATTTCGGACGAAAAATAAAAGATACAACAAACATACTTCCGACAGGTTGAGACATGCTCAGAAAGTCGTCCCTTTACTTTTCTTTTTGTGACTATTTTTGAACTTTCCTTCTGTAGAGGCATAAGCCCGACTCAAGGCTGGGAGCCCCCCCAGACGCGGGCCGCCACGGCTTCCAGCTGCAGCAGCTGGGCCTCGCAGGGGGGCGGGACCTCCCAGACGCGGGCCGCCCCGACTCGGGGCTGCAGCGGCCGCGCCCCGCAAAGGGGCGCGGGGACCACGCACGCGAGCCGCCCCAACTCCGTGGCGACCAGCGCCTCGCGCGGAGCGGCGAGTGAGGCCCTCAGGCTCTTGGTTGAGGTTCGAAGCTGCTCCCCTGCAGCATCCCCACCACCGCCGCCCCCTGGGGCACACGAGAGTGCGCCTCTAGACAGCCCCCGATGTGGGCGAGGCCCCTCCGCCGCCATCGGCATGCCACCGCCGTGTCCGCACTTCTCTGGCGAGGAAGCCAACTTGCAGCGACAGTTTCCTATTCCACTCACCTTTTGGGTACGGCAGCCGCGTGTGACCTCCAAGAGCGGGTGGGTGGCCGTGTCTTCTCTGTCAGCTACGAGAAGGGTTACATTCGAGATCGCATTGGGGGTCCAGGTCCTTCGCGAGAAGTTCGAGCCATAGCCATGTCAACGACGTCGTGGCTGCGGACCAGTTGAAGATCTACTCCAGAGTTCTGGTGCCCCCCCTCATTTGGTTGTTTGTTATTTGATTGATTCTCTCCTTCTCTCTCTCTCTCTCTCTCTCTCTCCCTCTCTCTCTGAAGACAAGGCCCTGCATACACATCTCGCGCAGGGGCTGCACCAAGTCGACCAGCCGATGTCCGCGCCTGCTTCTGACGAGGACGTCCCTTAAGCGCCCATTCATTCATTTATGCATTCATTCATTCATTCATGAATGTTCCTCCTCCCCTCCCCCCGCCCCGCCTGGGCGTGGTTGGGCACCCCCGGCGAATAGAATCCAGCCGTGGCGACGAGACGCCACCTGGGAGCCCGTACCTATCAAAACCCTCGCTCCTCGATCCCTCCCATTCCCCCTCCCCTCCGTGCTTCCAGACTCCAGCCGCAGCCGCGAGCTCATGCAAGCAGCGGCTCAGTCCGGGTCCGCCCCGCCCGCCTCCGGCCCACCGCAAGCGACGACAGAGCCTGCGGCGAGCCGAGCCTGAGGGCCGTGCGCAGGCAGGCAGCCTCTGATCCTCGATCCTCGGTCCTCGAACCCTATGCCCTCGATCCTCGCACTGAACCTCGACCCTTCTCCTCGATCCAGGCAGGCAGCCTTTGAGCAGCCTCCCCCCCTATCCCTCCCCCCCCCCCCCCCCCCCCCCCCGCCCCAGCGTCAAGTCGGGCCGGTCCCCCTACAGGGGGATTTTGGAGAGAAAAAAATCCAAAAATGCTCCAAACTTGTCAAAAGAAAAAGAAATAGTCCCCAGACTATCTTTTGACTATTTTTGGATCTTCCTCCTGTAGAGGGACAGGCCCGCAGCGCGTGGTGGGCGCCCCCCGGCGAAACCGCGCCCCCACCCCGCCGCTCGTGCCCCTGCCCCCCCGGGGCGCGCCAGCGTCATGTCGGCGTCCACCAGGTCCACCCTGCGCCTCTTGCCGCCGCCCGACAGCACCTCCGGGGCCGCGATGGAAGGGGGCCCCGTGGGTTGAGCAGGGACAGACCGTCTGGGCAGTTTCATAGGCCTAGAAGTGTGCTTAGAACCAAACAAAGTTCCAATAATAACAAAAACAATGTTCTCAGAACATGAACCCGATGTGTTAAATCAAGACAGTCCCAGCCAGAAACGTTCTAAGAACATTTCGTGGCAACCACAAAAGGTTCGCAGAATATCCTCTGGTTGGCCGAATATAAGCACGCCGGGACGCTTCGCCACTGCTTGACAGCAGGGCCTCCAGCGCCCTGGAGACGTCCGCAGACGGGCTTCTCTGCCTCGCCGGCCTCCGGCCTCCGGGGGGCCGCGCCCGGGGCCCCATGGGGCCAGCAGCAGACGATGGAGCGGGGATCCGAGCGAACGGTCTCGGGATCTGGACCGCAGCACGTGGCGCCTCCGAGTCACAGCCGTGCGGTCTCGAAAAGGCGCTCCCTGAGAAGCCATTCTCCCGCAGCGCAGGGATCGACCACTGGTGCTGACCTCCCTCTTGGCGCAGAGATCTATACACACCCAGCGCTCCTGGCCAGGCCCATCCTGTGCCCATGGGCCCATCTGTGCCCATGGGCCCATCCTGGGCCCCATCCTGGCCACGCCCCCCCCCCCCGGCTGCGAAGTGTGAAACTATCGCCACGTTCGTGGACTCCTGGGACGTCCAGCGGCGTGGAGTTGTACGGGGATCCAGTTGGGCCTCGCGGCCCCCTGGGGGGCTGCGATGTGCGCAGCTGTCGCCACGTTCTTGGGCTCGTGAGAGGTCGCGCGAAGTAGGATTATACAGGGATTCGGTTGGGACCTCGCGGCTCCCTAGGGGGCTGCGAAGTCTGAGACTGTCGGCACTTTCGCGCTTTCGCGGGCTCCTGGAGGTCGCGCGGGATGGAGATGTACGGGGATCCAGGTGGGACCTTGCAGCTCCCTGGGGGGCAGCTCCCATGTGCCACCACTTTCGTGGGCTCCTGGGAGGTCGCGCGGACTGGAAATATACGGGGAGCCAATTGGGACCTCGCTGCTCCCGGGGGGGAGGGGCTGCGAAGGCAACCGTCGCCACGTTCGTGGTCTCCTGGGAGGCCGCACGGGGTGCAGTTGTACGGGGATCCAGAAAGGACCACGCTGGTCCCTGGGGGGCTGCGAAGTGCGCAGCTGTCGCCACGTTTGTGGGCTCCTGAAAGGTCGCGCGGAGTGGAGTTGTACGGGGATCCAGTTGGGACCTCGCGGCTCCCTGGGGGGCTGCGAAGTGTGCAGCTGTCGCCACGTTCGTGGGCTCCAGGGAGGCCGCGCGGAGTGGAGTTGCACGGGGGCCTTGATAGGACCTCGCTGCTCCCAGGGGGCTGCGAAGTGCGAAACCGTCGTGACTCTCGTGGGCTCCTGGGAGGTCGCGCGGGGTGGAGTTGCACGGGGATCCAGATGGGACCTCGCGGTGCCCTGGGGGCTTGCGATCTGCGCAACTGTCGCCACGTTCGCGGGCTCCCGGGAGGTCGCGACGCATAGTGCAACTGACGACAAGCGCCTGGCGATGTCGCATCGCAGCTCGCAGGGAGCACTGCGCCATGCAGCGCATGGCGCTGTTTTTACCCGCGTGGCATCCCATCCTTAGCTGCCTCTGGCCCGCCATGCCACCCCGCGCGGTTGCCTCGCTCAGCGCGGCGCGCTGTTCTGATATAAAAATGGAACGCATGGCTCTGTCCTTTCCCGTGTATGTAGCGCTCGGCACTGTTGCTGTTACTGAGCATGCATGTCCCTCCATCACACCCTTCTGTCTGCGTCTGTATCCGTCTATGTCTTGCTTATGCCTGCATGCTTTATGGCGCACTGCGCGTCCTTCAACATGTTTGTTTTGCAGTGAGCGGCCATATATATAAATATGTACGCAGATACATTATATATGTATATGTATATGTATATATATGTATATATATGTATGTATGTGTATCGATCCTCCATATATTTAGACAGGGTTGGGTACGTCACATGGTAATTCCATGACTCGAGGGGGTCTGGGAAGCCAGGTGTCACAACCTCCCCTTTTGCCACCCATCCTCCCCCAGACATTGGACGAAGCGATTTTCCCATCCGCGGGCCCAGAGGTCCCGAGACCCCTTCTCCACGGGTAGTTTTTTGTCGGGGGCGGCCAAGAGGGGGGCGTCCAAGAGGGGGGGGGGGCGCAAATCATGGCTGGCGGCATGTGCGCGGCCCAGGGGGGAAGGGACCAGGGGCGTATTGAAACAAGAAGAGGCGCCATGGAACCTGGGGAGGTATCATGGCCCACGCCTTGATATCCACCCCTCCTAAGTCATCACCCCCCTGTCTGCCGCCCCCGATGTTGATCTCGGAACGCTGGTTGCTGAGCCCGGGCCCCCCCAAAAAACTGCTCCCCGGACTTTGTGGGCCCCGGAAACGGCAGGGCCATTGTTTCACCGTTTCCAGAAAAATGTCCCTTGACAATGGAAACAACGAAAAAACGGCGACCGGAAAGTGCAAAAAAACGGCTCCAGGATTGGAACCGGAGCCGGAACCGATAAAAAAAACCGCGACGGAACCGGAAAAAAAAACGGCGTCGGAACCGGAAAAAGAAAGGGCGTCGGAACCGGAAAACACGGCAAAACGGAATCGGTAAAAAAAACGGCCGTCGTTTCCAGGGCCCACTAAGTCCCCGGATGCTGATAGCCAGCGAAACCACCGGGGGTGGTCAGAAGCACACCGCCCGAGGCTCGGGCTCTCATCTGCCCGGAGGAATATATATGGTGACTGGAGGCGGCCAGGGCCTGAACTGGGGCCCCAGGAAATCGGCCCTCCCCCCCAAACAAAATAACAAAACAAACAACAAAGACAAAACACAAACAAACAACAACAACAAACAAACAACAGGCTGAAAAGTATTCTTCATAGAACGCTGTTGGTTCAAGCACACAGGAGGGGGGACGAAGCCAAACCCGCTCAATTTCTGTCTTGGGACCCCTCCTGGGATCCATCTTGTGCAACTTTCCACCCCGGGTCCGTTCCTCCTGGCCCCGGGAGCCGACAGCAGCCCCAGAAGGTGGACCAAGGCAAAAAAGACGTCTCGACTCCAGGACCTCGAACCTGTCCGCCCTTCCTCCTGGCCAGAAGCAATGCCGGGCCACCTCAGACCCCCGACCATCTCCAACATGGAGGAGCACCCCCCTCATGGGCTGCGGCCTCCACATGCACTCCCGCCCGCTTCGGCGGCGGCGCAGGCAGGCGCGGGCGCTTGCCGGCGGGCGGCTGCGCGGGGGGCCCCTTGCTTGCGGGCGATGGGCGAGGAGTCTGGGACGACGACGACGGCAACGGCGACGACGACGACGACGACGACGACGACGACGACGGCGGCGGCGGCGGCGGCGGCGACGACGACGGCGACGACGACGGCGTCGACAACGTCGACGGCGACGGCGACGGCGACGACGAAGGCGACGGCGACGGCGACGGCGACGACGACGGCGGCGGCGACGACTGCGGCGGCTGTGGTGGCTGTGTCTGCGGGGGGCAGGACAAGCGAGGCGACGGCGGGGGGCGGCGGCGGCGGCGGTGGGGAACGGGGGGGGCGATGCCGGCGGCGGAGGCTACGGCGGCGGCGACGATGGCGACCATGGCGGACGGCCTGTCTTGCTCACTGTTGGGCCCCCGGAGGCCGCTTCGGGGCCCCGCGGGGCGAGGCCCAGGACGAGAGCTCCCCCCTGCGCCCGGCGAGGGGGCCGCGAGTCGCCATCCCCCTCGGTCACGTCGCTGAAGAGCAGCGGCGCCGGAGCAGAGGGCCGAGAGGGCGCAGGACTGCCGGGGTTCGGCGCCGGAAGGGCCGCTCTCGGGCCCCAGCACTGTGGCACGAGAGTGGCGCTGCCCAAGGACCACGCAGTCAAAACAAAGCACGTCATCGGAAATCTGGGACCAGCGACCCCCCCCCCTCCCCGGCGAGTGGAAAGCTGCAGGTGTGACCGCTCTGCGTCCGAACATGGAGGGGGGCACGCGTCGGTGTCATTGTGTGTGTGTAAGGAAGTGTGTGTGTGTGTGTGTGTGTGTGTGTGTGTGTGTGTGTGTGTGTGCGATGCAAGGGGTCGTCCCGCCCTCCTGCCAGAGCGCTCCTCGGCCAAGTGTGCTGCGTTCACTGGTCGCCCACGGCAGCCCGAAGCCCGTGCATGGAATGGAAGCAGCACTCACACGGAATACTTTTGTGTCAGCGGCGACTCGGGGGTGCCCAAAGGGCACAAGAGGGGTGGCGTCCAAGAGAGGAGGTCACGAATCATGGCCCGTGGTGCGTTCGCGGCTGAGGAGAGGCCGGGGCCGTGTTGAAAGAGAGGAAGACGGGGCCACGACACCTGTGGAGAAATCATGGCCCCCGGAACGAGGTCCACCCCCCTTTAATCACACCCCTCCTCGTGGCCGCCCCCGAACGGCGTGGGACACGCAGCGTCGAGCCGCAACACAGCGGGGACGCAGCACAACGATCTGCGCACCGTAGCCAGAAAAAAGACAAAGAGGATAACAACCTCGGAGGAGGGCGAAAGAGGGCACCGCGTTCCGTGCATGTAGTGCCTGGCGCACCGAATGCACGCGTGCGAGGGGGAGGGGGGGGTCTAGGCACGCTGGCGCCATTTCTGACATCCTACCCCTCACACCCGTCCCTTCCCAGTGCGCTGTTGTTCTGTATCCGCCGACGGGTGCAAAAGCGAATTTGCAACTCTTGGGACGCCATCGCGACATGCGCAATCAGACGACAACGAGAGCCTTACACTGGAGGAGGAGGAGGAAGAGGAGGAGGAGGAGGAAAGGAGGAGGAGGTGGCGTGTGAGTAGAAGGATCAGCAGGAGAAAGAGGAGGATGAAGCAGGAGGACGAGTAGGAACAGAGGAACAACAGCAGCAGCAGAAGAGGGAGGAGATGGAGCAGCAGGGGATCAGTGGAAAGGAGGTGGAGAGAAACGGAGCGGTCCAGAACACTGGCCCGCGCTGAAGAGAGAGAGAGAGAGAGAGAGAGGAAGAGAGAGAGAGAGAGAGAACAAAAAAAAGAAAGAGAGCGCCATTCTAAGCGACGGGAGTCAAATGCTGATCCTATTATGAGGCGCGCGCTGCAGCGGGAGTATTCTTGTGAAGCGCCGAAGACCTCCCGATTTCGCGAAATGTATCAGTTTAATACCGATGTTAGCCAGCGTGCCCCCCAAGCAGTAAGTTATTGAAGGATGGACACGTCATCTACGTGGTGCAAGACGTGCGGTGTAAGCCATGTGGTGCAGCACGCGTGGTACAAGCTAGGGGCGTCGACATAGTTGCAACGGACGGCAATGTGTGAAGGGGCCCTGGGACACACAAATGAATACAGACACATAAAAGGATTCCCCGTATTTTTTCGCATATTTTCTGGGTGTCTCTCTTCCCCCCCACTTCCCATATTTTCTCATATTCTCTATGGATTCGACGATGAATTGTGTCTGTGCGTTTTTTTCCCCCTCCTGAATGTGGCGAAACATCGCCCGACTCGCCCAACGCATGAGCGGCAAAGTGGCGGCGACGTAGCGAAACCAGGCCCGACCAACCCGGCGCACGAGACGGCCACGAGGCGACGAGGCGGCAACGGGCGGCAACGTTCAAAACCCTCGCCAAAACCCAACAGATTTTCTCCGGGAGCGGCACGGAGGGCGCCTGTGTCCGCCAGGGGCCTCGGAGGCCAGCGCGGTGGGCCTGAGCCCTCAGGGACTGTGGCCTGAGTCAAATCCCTACTTGAAGTAATGCGGGATGACGATTAAAACATAGTTTCTGTTATTTCTGCATAATTTTCTGACTGGAGGAGAACGATAAAAAATAGTTTTCCAGCCCGCGGCCGGTTTTTTCTTATCGTCATCCCGGGCGCCGCCGCGTGAACACGACCCCCGGTCATTTAGTAATCGTCATCCTCCATTACTTACAGTAGGAGCTCAAGCACAAGAAACCTTCCACAAGTGAAACCCAACCCGAAGACCCCAGGACGTGCACTGACTTGTGGTGCGAGAGTCCCGCCCTCCAGAGCAAAACCATCGAAACCCAAGAAATCCAGGGCAGCCTGGAGGCAAGCAGGGTGTTTCTTGGCATTGTTTTCCACTGTAGGGAAAAATACGAAGCCCAAAATGCAAGCACTGTTTGGGGATCTTTCGGGGAGAGCGGGGCATTCTTGAGCACGCAGCCAGGGGGAGATGGGGAGAGTTCAGATGGAGCAGTTGTGAAGGGAGGGTGCACGTCGGTCGGACGAAGCGGGTAAAAACGTGAAGCAGGAAGGCGGATATAAAGTAGAGCGGGCTCAGGCCCTCCCAGACAGCAAGAGCAGATCGACCCTGGAAGCAGGAGGGCGCTCGCAGCGGATTGGGCTCCGGGAGTGTAGAGATAATATCTACGCTCGACGACCGGCGTGCTCTTCTGGAGGGAGGGCCCAGGGCCCAGGTCCCCCGCCCTCCCCCATGCGATCCTTGAGCGCAGACCCCGGGTCGTCGAACACGCCCGGGGGCCGCTGCAGCGCCGGGGCTGCCGCAGGCAGCGGCGCCTGCAGTGGTGGCCGCCCTCGCGCGGGCCGAGCCCGCCGCCCCGAACGCACCAGCTTTTGGACTGACACTCGGTGCGTTCGAGGCGGCGGGCCAACCAGGAGGCCTCAAGATGGTCAAGGCTGTTCCACCAGGTCCTCGAAGAGTCCAAGGCAAGGAATGCCTCAGAGGGGCCCAACAGATGCCCCAGGTGGCCCAAAGGCGGACCAAGACGCCCCTACGAGGGTCACAAGACGGCCGCAAAAAGGTTCAGGACGGCCGGAGGGAGCCACATTACGGCCCATGAGAACCACAAGACGGACAGCTGCAGAGCTCATGACGGCCCAAGGGGGACGTCGCCAAGAAGGCCAAGAAGGCACCAAGACTAGCCCACAAGGTTTCAAGAGGCACCAAGAGGCTGTGCAATATGCCCCCAACGGGCCCCGCTTCTCAGCCACAGGGCGGTCACAGCCCCGCTTCTCAGCCTCAGGGCTACAAGCTCTTGCCCCCAGGTCAAGCACGTGGCATGCCACCGACCAAAACTGGCCCAATCGCAGCGTCGCGACCCCACCCACCCCAGAGACTCTCGAGAGTGCTTCTGCGGCCACAGCGCCTCTGCCCGCGACTGTCCAGCCCGCGCGCTGGCGCTGCTGCTGTGCTCGGACAGCTCCGACGAGGACTCGTCCGAACTCTCGGAGGCAGCCTCAGCGGCGAGACTGGGCGCCGGCGGGCCAGCGGGAGCGACTGCCGCCGGTGCGGCCGACATGCCCGCCACCGCGGCCGCCGGCGCGCTCGGTGCCGGCACGCCCGCTGGCGCGAGCGGCGCTGCAGCCCTCGGCGAAGGCAGCGCGCGGCGTGGGCGGTCGGTCGGCAGGCGCTCAGCGCCCTCCGGCAGCTGCGGCGGCCCCTCGGCTGCAGGTGGCGCAGGTCCTTCGGGAACGAGGCCCTGCTTCGCGCCCTCCAGCTTCTGCTCCTCTTCAACTGCGCGCACGAGTGACCCTCGGCAGGAGTGACCTCTGGTGCTCGGTCTCAGGGGTCCGCAGCCGGTTCCAAACTCGAGCAACCCAAGCGCGCCAGCCAGTGCCGGCAGGATCCCTGCGGGCCCACACCAGAGGCCCCCCGGGCGAAGGGTTACTCTTGCGCGCAGCCGATCCTTGCACAGCTCTTCCTCCTCCGCCCTCTGCTTCTGGCGCAGCTCCTCCATCCTGTGGCGCGCCTTGCTCTCCGCACGGCTGCTGACCTCCTCCAGCCTCTGCCGGACCAGCTCGGAGATCCTGCCGCCGAAGACGTCGTCTTCGCCGGAGGCTGCCTCGACCCCGGGCGGTCCTGCGGCCTCTGGGGAGGCCCCAGGCAGCGCTGCCGCCAGCCCCGCACCCGCGGGCGCGGCCGCGGGCACGGCCGGCGCGCCCTCGCCCGGCACGGCAGCTCCGCCGGCGGGCTCCAGGGCCGGCCCTGTCACCGCCGCTGCGGCCAGATCTGCGCTCTCTGCGCCCGCGCCCTCGCCCGATGCGCTGTCCACGTCGGTGTCGGAGCCTGGCTCCGCTGCGCGCTGCTGCTGGGCCTCCTCTGGACTCTGCCGCTTCGCCTCCTCGCTGGCTATCCGCAGGGCCTCCTCCCTCGCCAGCTGCGCCAACTCCTCCGCCACCTTGCGCTCGGCCTCCTCTCTGGCATTCACCTCGGTCTCCTTGGCCTTGCGCTCGGCCTCCTCTCTGGCCTTCTGCTCGGCCTCCTTGGCTTTGCGCTCGGCCTCCTCCCTGGCCTTCTGCTCGGCCTCCTTGGCCTTGAGCTCGGCCTCCTCCCTGGCTTTCTGCTCGGCCTCTTTGGCTTTGCGCTCGGCCTCCTCCGTGGCCTTCTGCTCGGTCTCCTTGGCCTTGCGCTCGGCCTCCTCTCTGGCCTTCTGCTCGGTTTCCTTGGCCTTGCGCTCGATCTCCTCTTTTGCCTTCTGCTGGAACTCCTTTGCTTTGCGCTCAAGCTCCTCTCTGGCCTTCTGTTTCTTCTCCTCGGCTTTGCGCTTGGCGGCCTCCTGCTTGGCCTCCTGCTTGTTTTTCTTGGCCTGTAGCGCGATTTCTGCTTCCTTTGCCCTGCGTGCAGACTGTCCCTCGTCGGCGTGTTCCGCGGACTCAGCCAACACCCGCCCGTGCCCTCTCTGGCCAGTGGCGGGCGCACCGTATCTACGAATCCTCAACCGTAGAATTTTGGTCTCCTTGCAAGCGTTCATGATCTTATACGCATCGCCCTTGACCCCGTTAACTTCACTGATGCGATCGCCAACCATGACCACCGAAGCTTGGCATCTTTCATTCCACCTCTGTATGAGACCGTCGGCGATGCGGGCAATGGTGAGACACGTTCTGTCTATAGGTTCTCTGCGGTCTGGAACTATACCAAGCTTATCGCCTGAACTCCTATCTACAGCAAGCCTGAACTCAGTCTCCAACCCAGGTCGACGTACGACGATATCCAACATCTTGTTCTGCTTGCACTCGTCTTGGATGCTCGAAATGTCCCCACGCACGCCGTTTACCTCTACAATGCAGTCACCAGCTTGCACAATAGAGCGCAGACGCTCTTCGTTCCATCTTTGTACAAGGCCAGGAGAAATCCCTGCCACGCCGAACGTCGTGGTGTCTTGACCCTTACTGCGATCGGGAGCGATACCAAGTTTCTCCCCCGAACATCGGTCAAGCGTCACGCCGTACTCCGAGACAGGACGAGATGCATCGCTTCCGGTGACAGTCGCTGGCCTATCCACGGCAGGGCTATGCGAGCCTGCATGCTGAGAAGTGACTGGCTCCGCTGTGCCAGTGATGGAGTCTTGGACGACTAAGCGGTTGTCACCGCTCTCTGCCAACGCCTGTGCGGAGCCATGAACTTGCATTTGCTCCCCGATCCATCTCAAGTTCTCCTCCAAACATAGCAAAAGAAAGAAGCTCCGCCTCCGTGCCCCCGGGCACGTTGAAGAGTGGTAGAATGCCAAGTGCTGTATGGTATGGCCTCTGTCAAGGACCCCCCCCTCGCGATGCACACTCTGGCATGCACCGCCCCCCTTCCAAAGGCTCGCGTGGCGCTCCACGCCTCCCTGGCGCTCTCCAGGGGATGCCGAAGACGACTTTCGCGGTTAGGGGAACGGACAACGACACCGAAGCGTAAAACCTCGGAGGTCCGCGCGGATTCCTCGGATCGGCGCTGGGCCCCCCCTCACTGGCGAGCGGAGCGCGCCAGGGGCGGCGCCGGAGGCGCCGCCGGGGGGGTCCAGCGCCCAACCGAGGAAGCCGCGCGGACCTCCGAGCTTTTGTGCTTCTGCCGCTGCTCGTTCCCCCAGCGGTCGAGCGGGCAGGGGACCAGGGGCCGCCGACGAGGGCCCCCCGGGGCCGCCTCCAGACGCAACAAGAGCCAAGAGCCCCCGAGGAGCGCGCCCGCTGGGAGCCAAAGCAAAGCGCCTGAGGCCTGGCTGGCGGTGCCCAAAGGAGGGTCGGCGCACAGAGCCTCTCGCTGGCACGGCGGGATGGATTTGCCGCAGGCACCTGCACGTAGAGGAGGAGCAGGAGGGAACGTCTCTCGACGAGCGCGTTCCACTCTTCGCAGAGCAACTACTCGCAAATGGCCTGGACCCCTCGCGGGGGATCTACGGTAAAGTTCCTCAAAGCGGACACGTGTTTTTTTCAGACGTTTCGCGAGTAGGAACGCGCTCGGCGAGTCTCTTCACCCTCGTCTCCCCTCGTCCTGAGCCTCCTCATGTTTGTGGATGCCATGACAGGTGGGCGCCGTAACAGTCCGATCGTGGAATCACAACTATGATTATAACATGTTTGAAACATGTTCTCAACAGTTGTTACACAACAAACAACGAAACAACACAGGTTTAAGCCATGCTTGAAACACGTGTTGGCATCTGAAAACTAGTTGGCAACACGCTTCATCTCCATTGATCGTCCTCCACAACCTTAGGTAAGCTCTTGCCTTGATCACATTGGCAATGGTTGCCGCCCCTCTGGCCAAAACGGGACTACACATTGCGCTCAGCCTTGCGCGCCCGCGCCGGCGTCACCGCTGCGTAAAGGCGACACGAACAAGCTGAACTCACCCTCCTGAAGGGGGGGGGGGGTGAGGAAGAGGAGGAGGAAGAGGAGGAGGAAGAGGAGGAGCACGACGACGAGGAGAAGGAGCAGGAGGAAGAAGAGGAGGAGGAGGAGCGCAAGGCTGGAGGGTAACGGATCCAAGGGCAGGGCCCCCCAGCTGGGGGCTATAGAATCCAAGCTCCAGCCCGGCTCCCATGGTCATGGGATTGGGCCGCCCCCCGCTGGTGTGCCTCCCTCCCTGCAAGTGTGGTGTGGTGCGGGGGTCGGGGGTGAGCGTACGTGTGTTCGCGCGTGCTTGTGTGCGCGTGAACGCACGATTGCAACATAAGCTTGCGCGCCCCGCGAAATTAAAACCATCTGCAGTTGCAGCGTTGTCCGCCCGAACAGATGTGTGCACTTGGGACCCACCGTGGGTTTGTTACTGGTGAGGTGTAACGGGGCGAATGCGAAAACACAGATTCAACGTATCTGTGCATATGGGGCCTGGCGACAGGGCGCGGCGCCAACGCGACGCCAACGAACGTCGCGGACTTGGGCCTTTGAGTTGGACGCGCGCCGCCACGCCAACGCCGTCGTCGCCCTCCCACTTTTCCCGCTTGCCCTCCTCGCCCCCTTGTCCCCCGCATCCCCTCTCCGCTTACTCCTCCCCCACGCCCCCGTCCGACCCGGACGCCGCCGCGCGAGCCCACCGAGGACGGGAACATGGCACCGAGAGCTGCCCCGCGCAAGCGCCGCAACACGCAAGCGCCGCAACACACGGTGCACAACCCTATTGCCGCCGAGCGCGCTGCAGAACCCACGTGCCGCCACGCGCGCGCACCCCCTCCCTCCCCCCTCTCCCACCTTCCCCTCCTCCCCACCCCCCCCTCGTCCTGCCCTCCCTTCGCCGCCCCACTGTCCTTCTCCTCCCTCCTGTCTTCCAACTCTCCTCTTCCCCCTTCTTATCCTCGTCCGACCCGGATGCCGCCGCGCACGCGCTCGCGGGGCGCCCTCGCGCGGCGACGTCTTGGTTGGGCGCCCACGCCCTCCCGCTGCAGCCGACGGACCCGGAGGAAAGCGGGAAGGTAGGGGGCAGATGGCAAGGACGACGATGACGACGACTCCGACAAGGGCGAGAACGAGGACGACTCAAATGTATGTCGATCTGCGCAACTTTGCTCTTGGAACATGTTGGCGGCCTCCTGGGTCCATATCAGAACCATCTCGGGGCCATTTGGGGAGACCCTTTTCGGGGGGGTCCAGAGGTATGAGGGGCCTTCTTGGAAATTTGCGGGCCCTCTTGTGGCAACCTTGGGGCATATGGAAAGCCTGGCGCCTTCAGGAATCTCCCACCTTCCCTTCGCCCGCCCCCCTCCTTTCCCCCGTCCCCCACCCGTCTGCCGACGCCCGAACTCCCTCCCACCTGCCTCCCGGAACCGCGCCCTCCGGGAAGCCCTCGCAGGAGCAACGGAGTGCGTATTTCGCCCTGCTCGAACGGCCTCCCCCGGACAAGGCGAAACGATTCCGAAAGATCCTTTCCAGCGACCAGGACGGGAGGGAGCAAAGATGGATTTACACAGATCAAAAAAAGAAATGCGTACACCGATCGAACGAAAATCTGTGCATTCGGACCATATGACCGCGCGTTTTTACGCAGATCAAAGGAGGAACCGTGTACACTGACCGCAAGAAGATATGCGAACTTCGGAACATCAAACGCGCGCCACCTCGACTATCCGAGAGGATCCCGAAAGTTCCCCGCCCGTGACCACGACGGGAAGGGACGACGGTGGGTTTACACAGTTCACGGGGTGTAATGTGTAATTTGTTGACGGACTACAAGACCTGCGCATTCGGACCAGGCCCGCGCGCTTTCACAGAGATCAAAAGAAAGGAACTGTGCACCAAATCACAAGACTACCTGTGCATTTCGGAATCTTCCGATTGAGCGCGATCTCGAAGGCCGAACCCAAGTTTTCCCCTTCGGGGATGGATCACCCCTCCCCTCGCCTCCAATATGCCTCAGGCAATCCGCAAATGGTTCCTCGTGGCTTCCAACTCCCCCCCTCGTTTTATTATGAGCCCCCCCCCTCCTTCTCCTTCTCCTCCTCCCACCACCTTTTGCCCCCCCTCCTCCGCTTCCTTCCTCTCCTACCTCAGATGCATAAAGATGGCGGCCGCTCCGCGCCAAGAGGGCCCCAAAAGGGCACCCGAAAGGGCCCCGAAGACGACCCCAAGCTTGCCCCAACGATGATACAAAAGGTCGGAGGCTGCGCCCCATTGTTTTCCTTCTACGTGTCCATATTGTCCTCCCTTCCCCTCTCCGCCCCCACTTCGTACTCGATCCCGCGTGGTGGTAGTAGTAGTAGTAGTAGTAGTAGCAGCAGCAGCAGCAGCAGCAGTAGTAGTAGTAGTAGTAGTAGTAGTTGTCGTAGTCGTAGTCGTAGTCGTAGCAGTAGTAGTAATAGTGGTAGTAGTAGTAGTAGTAGTAGTAGTAGTAGTAGTAGAAGTAGAAGTAGAAGTAGTCGCAGTCGTAGTAGTAG